CCTCTTTCTCTTCCTCGTCCTCTTCCTCTTCCCCTTCTTCCGCTTCTTCCTCTTCTTCTTCTTCTTCTTCTTCTTCTTCTTCCTCTTCTTCTTCTTCTTCTCCTTCTTCGGATCCCTTGCAAGGTTTGCCAGGGTGGTGGGTGGTCCCTGGGGATCTTTGATTCCCACGGTGTACCCCCACCTATAGAGCATCAAAAAAGGCATACGGGTCCTGTTTCTGCTCCTCATGAGCCCGTTAATTGCTGCCTGACGAGTAGGGGTTGCTTTGTACAATAGTGAGAAATAGGACAATACTTGGTAGAAAATAGGAAATAAAACAATAAATAATAATAAAATAATGGAAAATTCGTTTTGCTGTGGAAAACGAGCAGCAGTGTGTGGTTTCTATTTTTTTTCTGCCCTGGATCAGGGATGTGGCCCGGATCCGACTGTCTGATTATAGGCCCTTGCCTAATTCTCCGGTACTCACTCAATGGTTGAAAGACATTTTTGGGCACTTGCGAACTGCACCCGTACCTCAGGCTCACAAAAAATGGGACAGAGATGTATGGAAAGTGAAAAAGTGGCTAGTTTCAGCTTTTAAAAAAAAAAAAAAAATTTAGCCCCTGATACAAGGAAAGGTTCCGGAAGTGCGAGTGGGAGTGTGGGTTTTTGAAACGATTCAGTTCACAGCTCCGGATACACTCAGCGGAGTACATATAATTGTTCCTCATGGATAGATCGTCCCTTTGATCTGGTTCCCGAAAGATAAGTGTGAAGTCGAAGCTGATGTTTGAGGCACTGCTCGCCTACCTCCTGACGATGGAAGGCATGGGATGTGATGCGCAGAGAGTTGCTGCCGATCAGATGTACCGAGGATATGACAGATCGTGGTGGGTGGGATATGTGGATTGTAGAAAGGATGTAGGGAAGCCGGGGAGAGAAGGATTGTAGGCAAATCATGAGCTATAAAGCAGGAGGGGTGATGCTCCTTCTGATTGAGTGGTGGATGGTCCTCCTGAAGAGACTTGTATACGCCAAGTCAAAACGGGTCGAGGAATTGCGTATACGTGCGGTGTTTGGCAAGTGTTAGTGTGATTGGACTACTGATTGTACTTATCTTGTCCTCCGTGTGAACGTATCTGTTCTATAGTACCCTGAATTCTGGGTAGAAGTGACAACCAGTGGCTTGTTGCCAACAGAGTGGTCACAAAGTTTTTCTGCGTAGTGGGGTATAGTGAGGGGGTGGCTGAGGATTGTACAGAGTGATGGGAAATGTGGGAGTGTCACGGATGCTGAGGCTGTGCAGACACATCGCCCGTTATCTGTGTGGGTTGAGAAGGTTTCGTCATACCCTTCGTCTGATGGTCAAAAGCATTATCTTGCGTATGACTGTCCCCGGCAGACATACGATGGCGGCTAGGGCGAGCATGCTAGATTATATTGGCAGGAGTGAGCGACTGCGCACGACTCTTTACTGGCACATTTAGGCGCCGATGCTCACTTATGCTAGGCGTGCTCCAATTTTGTATAAAAAGAGGGTGATTCCACCCCTGATAAGAACATATCGGGACTTCGATCGTATCTGTACTTTTATTCGGGAGGCGCTGTGCGTATTGCAACACACTTTTTTGGCTCATCGATGAATATGGCTGGGAATGGGGTGATGGGACTGGGTGCTGCTATGGGGGGAACAAACATGGGTGGAGGAGTAGGCGGAGGTGTAGGTGGGGCTGTTGGCGGTATAGCTGGTATGGGCATGGCCAACCCTAATGGAGCATTGACAGCACCCTTCGGGGTGGTAACATGCTACATTTGTGGAAAACCGGTCATTGTTCGCGTAACTGTTGGCAGCCGTCCAACAGACAGCAACCGGTGGAGGACCATGGAACGAAGGAACTTCTGCGCCGGATTGCAAAGAGAGAAAAAGAGGAGGAGAGGAAGTTGCGAGAAACGGAAGAAGCAAGAAGAAAGGTGGAAGAGGAGAGAAGGGAAAGTGAGAAGCTACACGAGGCAGAAGCAAGGGAAGCACGCCTGGAGGCGACCATTGTACGGATTCTGTCGCAGCAGAAGGAATCTGTGAGGATAGCTCCGCCTCAACCTATGATGATTACTCCGTCTCCCCGGACAGCAGCCGAGCCAAAGAAACGATCTCCTCATTCTAAGGCTTGAATGCTGCGGGAAATACGGAGCTCTATAGACGAATCTGACGACGAAAGTGAGGAGGTGAAGGAGGAGGCTGATAAGTTGATAGAAGCTATCGAAAGTAGAAAGAAGGGAAAGAAGAACACAGTGATTCTACGTGCGGCTGCAAGTCATGTCACCAGCACTCCACGGAAGGATAAGACATGTCAAGGAACTGCATGTGATGTGGCAGATGTTCTTGAGACTCCGAAGAAGGTGGGACCTGCCGAGTGCTCCTGTGAAGGAGTACTGGATTATGCGCTCACACAAGCTAGGGCTCTGAGTGATCTCAAAGCCCCCGACCTCAAGAAGATCTGTGATCGAGAGGGTAGAGACTATATCGTCAAGGAACAGGCAATCCATGACATCGCTCGCTGTCGGACAAGACTGGCTTACGAAGGCTTCTTCAACAGTGATCAGGCAACACCTTGCAGCAAACGGACGAGATATCTGTGGCCGGTAAGGTCATGGAAGTTTTTCTATGAAAGTTTTTGATACTTCACTGATTTATTCTGGTTTTTGTACCCGTTTTGTACTCGTTTCTCACATATAACGATAGTTAAGGGCGTGCATAGTTCTGTAGGTGATAGATAAGGCTGGGCGTCAATTTTTACCTTGCGGATGAAAACGCAAGATGTGCTGGTGCGGTTTCGTGAACTTATGACTAGTAGAGATTGTTCATCCTATGTTAGTTAGGTCTAAGGAGAATGAACTCGCATATCTGGTTTTGCTGTTAGATGTGCGAGGATACGTACCATGGGTCAAAAAACTTCTGAGGTTTATTGATCCGGAAGATGTGGACGCCAAGCAGCCTGGGGTGTTCGCCGCGATTAGTCCTGCTTGCCAAAGGTTTTATATTGGTTGTACTGTGAGAAAAATCATCACGAGATGGGAAGAGCACATCCGGTGCTCAAAATCCAGAAGTGTGCGTAATGCTCCGAGGTTGCACACTTGGCTTAAGTTTTTGGCTGGCAGCAATACGTAGTTTTACCGCTAGTATCTGGTGTGAAAGATGCTTTGCTTGCTGAAAGAGCGCTGATCCATCGATTCTCTCCATCATTAAACATTATTGGATGGGCAGACATCAGGAAGGAAAAAAGGAGAGTAAGAACGAAGCATCGGAAACGGAATTTCAGTGGAACAGGCGGTCTGATCACGACCATGTACGGAGGAGAGAAGTTCACCTCGCTGTTTAACCTGCTGATAGATTTGGTCGGGAAGAAGAAGGGGGACATATGTTTGACAACCTGCAGAGGAAAAGTGTGGGTTGACTCTGGGAAGAAGCTTAGAGAAGTTTGGGGAGTCCGATATCGTAATTGGGAACATTAGGAGGAGGTTAAGAGCTGCGAATGCGGAACTTGAGCAGGGGTGCACCTTTTGCATCACAAGGCTGGTCATCGCTCCCACAGTTGTGCGAAGGAACAAACTCCACTTGCAGAATTTGATTGCGGAGCCATGGAGATTGTGACAGCTATATCAACTCTCTAGCATTAACTGGTAGTGCTCTACTGAACCGCCAGACTCTTCTCACAAGGATCGACGCGCAGCACTATCCGCTCGAAGATCGAGCGAGTGATGCGTGGAAAATTTGGAATCGAGGTAAGGAGGAGGGTAGTGCTGAAAATTCCGTTTTCCTCCAAAGTTAACATGCGTTCAATCCGCGAGATCATGACAAATGTAACGGGAGTGAGGCTGAGGGTGAGCCGAGGGAGAGGAGAGAGAGAGGGAGAGAGTGAGAGCACACACACACACTCACTCACTCGACACGACGGACTCGGACTGAGGGTTGGRCGYAGACACASHRGCAAGGCACAAAGTCGAAGTCTTGGATTCCCAATGCCGAAACGGCAAGTCACACTGAGTACAAGTACAGCAGCAGAGAACTGGTACGAGACTGGTCCCCGTACCGTAC